AGTTGGCTGTTGACTTAGAAATACGAGATGTTTTTGGGAGGGCCGAAAGAAAATCCTCAACCCCGGTCACTTCAGCTCAGACCGGGTCCTTGGTTGGACTCTCTGCCCTGGATCAAATTGAAACATACGTGATATTTTATTGCTTATTTTCTTTCTGTTGTTGGTTTACAGTCTCTCTAATCAGCCGAACCTGCGTTAATAATTGTTATGGTTGGAAACGGTTTAAAAAAAATAAATAAAAAATCACAATCACAGCGTACTGTTTGCTTTGCCGTTAGACTTTTTAAAGCCAAGTGAAGGACAGAAACACCCACAGAGTCGATGCGCAAGTGCCTCCTAGCTGTTAGTTCAGCTGTGATTGATTGGTTTCTACGATGCGAAAAGAGTCGACGAGAACGTAGGATTATTTATATGCTCGACTGCCTAATAAAAATATCCCGTCGTTCATATCGAGGCGAACCGTTGAGGTTACCCCACCGTCTGCATCCGGACAGGAGGTCCGTCCGCGAGACGCGCTCGTCGTCAACTTTACTGGTTGCATTTGTCCAGTTGGTTGTTAGCAGAAATGATAAATGAACCGATCTGTTGGCAGCAGCTCATGAGTCTGATGGCTCCTTCCAGAAGATTAATGCAGCGCGTCACGAGGCTGACGTGATCTCCAGCGGGCTTCTTGAACGCGACAATGAGTTCCTTGTACTCCGACGACCTCCGCCGTTATGCAATCGAGCACCTTTAGGATGTGGTGGAATGGGAGATTCGTGTTATGTTTGTGCAGAGAGGACAGATCTCTACTCTGTTATTTTCTGGAGTCAAAATTGCATGAAATTTTATGCCTGGTTACATTTTTCTTCTTTTTTTTTTTTTGAGGTCCACGCTTTATCAGCCACACAAATATTTTCCTCTTCTATACATGTCCAAGGATTTATGATGACAACCGTTGCTATTTTTGAGTGTTTCTTTCTGTGATTTCCTGACAAATGAAAGCAAAATAAACCACAATTTATTTATTTTTTTTCTTCATTTAAAGCAAATAATTATCTGAGTTTCCTCAGACCGCTGAAATCTGTGGTGTAATATTGGGATCATAAAAAGGGAAAATGATATGAAGGACAGTTTCAACGTGGGCTCTTTTGTGCCGGCAGGACGCCATCGTTACCATCACCTTCTTTATCCGCCAGGATATAAAGCACATCTAAAGCTGAAGATGTTATTTCAACGTTATTAACGTTTGCAGTTGTTTATTCTGCAAAATCATCTATGAAAGCATAATATAATGTGCAGTGGTTACTTCAAGTGACTCACTGGATCAAATATGAATCGCAGAGTTTGCTAAGTTTCTTAAGGTTGCACATCTTTTTGCAGCGATAACACATTGTGAGGTTTTAATAACTGAAGTGACGACTACACCCAGCAGTCAGTGAGGGAGAGACAGTTGACACGTGGATAGAGCAGCACGGGCATCCCAAGGCGAATAGCTGTTCACACAAATACAGATTAGACTCAGTCACTAGTCATGGTTTTGTGCTGCAAGAGGAAGCTGGAGTACCTGTAGAAACGGCCTCAAAGAAAGTCCCCAGCTGAGATCTAAACAGTTTTTGTTTTTTTTAACACTGTTACCCAACACGCCACCATGCAGTCCTCAGCAAAATCCAAAAGTGGGGGGGGGGAAATGAAATTTGCGGGTTATCATGCGAGTGTGAGTTTGACAAGCGGATATTAGCTTGCCACAGTGACTGGCAGACACCGGTTACAAATAAAAACCATCTTTTTTCTCGCTCACTTCTGATGTCTGCTTTTATTCCACAACAGAGTTCAGATCCAGATCCAGCTTTCGTCCAAACCAGAGAATAAGTCACACGTATTGCTGTACGGAGTGATGCAGTTTGAGGTTGTTGGTTTTTTTTTTAGTGCTTAGGCTGCCCACTTTGAACATTAGCAACAAGCGGACACAGTAGTACCAAACGCTCGTTTTGAACTGACGCGACCGCACATCCGTCTGAATGTTTGTGTTCACCGTCTTCCAGCCTCACAGCGGATGGCATCAAAGATTATAATGCCAGGGAGTTTTCATCTCCTTTCAGTTTGCTGTGTGCTAGTATTTGGGACTCTGTTACACCTTTCAGATTCAGAAACACGCTCAGAACCGTGGCTGAGTGACTCCATCCGTGCCCTGCGTCGCCACCGTCGGCTGGCTGAGTAACAGTGGGGAAAAAAGATGAGCTTCGTATCTAAAGAAATCCAGCATTGATACCTTTCTACATACCAGAGATTTGTTAAGGCTGCTAAAATGGAGTTCATGTCTTCTCTAGTCTCTGGTAACATTCACCAGCCTCAGGTTCTGTTTAGCTTTTAAAGCTCTAAAGGAAACCGTCACCCCTTCCCTGCAATTTTCCTCTCTCGGACCAAACTCGCTTGTTCCTGTTTCCACCAATTCAGGCCTTGCTCTTCGCAAAAGTGTCGCCAGTTTTGACCAGTTTGAGCCAGGGTCCTTTTCTTCCCTCACAGAGGTAGTTAAAAAGCTGCAGCCAACAAGTCGCCCTTTCAGGTTTCGCTCCTGCTCATTTTCTGAAAGATGCCTTCAATAAATCAGCTCTAAAAAAAAAATAAGAGGCTTGATTCAGAATATGTTCCATCTTCCCTTTAACATGCTGCAGGTCAAATACAAAAGAGAGAGAACTGTAGATGAACGTCTAAACTTCCGTTTCGGTCAAAGGTTTTAGAGAAGATTTTTTTGGGCAACATGGTGCAACATGTTCTCCAGCAAGAAGAGAAGCACATGTACTAAAAGCAGCAAGGTGGCGTCTTTTAAGTGGCGGCTGCAAAGGGTTGACTGAACTGCCCAGTCAAAGGCCAGAACAAAGTACATTTAAGAATCTGTGCCGTGACTTAAACCGTTCATAGACACGTGATCTGATCTGACCGATGATGTGACATGTAGCAAAGAAGAATGAACAAAAGAAATTTCACACAGCGTGCCGTCCTTCTTTTGTTCTCAGTTGAAATATCTGAATAAACCATGTTCCATTTTCCTTTTTTATAAGTAGTCACAACACACTTACGTTTTGGTGGTAATGTGAGAAAAAGTGAAAAAAAAAAAAAAAAAACCATAAGCGGAGAGAATGTGTTTTGTTTTCCAAAGCGGTGTAGGCGACTTCATTGCATACCTTCGCATTGCGAGCCGCATGCGTTGCTCAGTAGCTTGATGCGTTGTGCGTCTGGTGGCTCTGGCGCGCCCCGCAGACTTTTGGCTTGACAGAGTGGAAATGTTGCGATGTGGAATTAGCAATTTGGCTGCACAAAACGAAGAAACTGTGCAAGGAATGAATGAAATCTCCTCTCGCTGCCATTTCCCGACCTTAGACAAACACCTGACAAGAGTCGGCCATGCGGGCCAAGAAAAGACTGCGCGCGTCGGGTTTAATGGTTATTTATTGCGCCCGGAGTCTTGTGAGATGTCTTTATGTGAACTCTGTGTATCATGTTACCACAGGAGATGATTTTTCAGCTGGCCTGGTTTGGCCAAACAACAGTTTCAGGCATTTCATAGAGTCCCCTCGGCATTAGAGCCGTTTGGTTTCACACGGCCAGCTCTTTGCTCACCGTTAGGGATTTAAGTGTTTCATCCATTTTTCCACTATTTAGCTGCAGTTATTCCCACTCGGACCCCCAGCCCGCCGGTATGAGCGTAGGGTGGAAGTTGGAAAGTGTCCCCGACCGTACAGCTCGCCCAGCTAGCGGCGTCAGGGAGGGAGCAGCGGTGGACACGCTGGTCTCAGACAGCCATGTCTTTGTAAACCAGCATCAGGGACGCAGCATGATGGATGGAGTGTCTTAACGAACCAACGTGAGTTTCAGCCTGGCAGCACATGAAACCAGAAGGGTTTTGGGTTTTTTTTTTTTCATACGTCCCGGTCGCTTACTAATGTCTTTACCACCAGCAAAAATTCAGCAATTTGTCTTTTTTTGAAACTGCTGTTATATTTTTAATTCACAATTTGACCATGGTGGTATCTGTTTGTCATATTCAAATTATGGCACCACATCCTGTTGGGACAGTTTGGCTTGTTTTTGTCGTTGCCGTTTGGCTCGAAATGGAAAATAAAAATCAATCTGGTGTTTCCAACGGGTTAGTAACAATGTGTGTGGGGTTACCAGGTTACGCCCAGTAATAGGTCTAATTAAACTCTACTGCTTCATCACAATGCGGTAGAAGCTCATAAAGTTTATTTCAGTAATTTAACTTAAAACGTCAAACTTGCTTATACAGATAAAATCAGGTACTTACATTGTATAAAAAGGTAAATACACTCAAATTTACATTGATTCCATTAGCTGAAGGCCAGTGAAAATAAAAATAAGATTGTTTCCAGATATTTGTTCAATCTCAGAAATTTACATTTCCTTTTATAAACCAGAACTTGAGTTAAATTGAAGCAATTTTTGTCTTTCCACAGGTTTGTAGGTCAACTTGGTTGTTGCCTACAAACCTGTTCAAACTCTGATTACTCATTTTCTACAAACACTTAGACTCAGGCCTTTCAAAACTGACTTTGTTGTCCTTAAGCCGCTCTGTAACTAACCTGCGCTTCAGGTCAGCGTTCATTTGGAGAACCCGTTTGCGCTCGAGCCTGAATTTCCTGGCTGCTGTCCAGAGATTTTGCTGGGATGTTTCTCCACAACCTGCGTTAGTCACGATGCCATGTGGAGAGCACACACACAGCAGGACGCCGCCGACCCCGTTTTTCCCAGTTGGGATTGTGTGCTTGGATTTGCGAGCTTTCCTTCCTGTAAATATATCAACGGTTGGTGTAACCGAAAACTTTTCATCAGAGTTTCAAGGGCTGTTTTAAGAAAAAAATGCTTTTGGAACTAAATGGAAAGCTTGTGCTGAACGAAATGATCAAATCATTTACTTCTGAGTACTTTTAGACAGCCGTGCATCGTCTTCATGTATTTAACCATACGTGCTTTTAAAGCCTCCTTTTTGTTTGCCCCAACAGGAAGGCGGGTCTCATCCTCTCCCAGCTGGACGAGCTCTCTCTGTGGTGTAAGGGCCTCCTGCAGGAACCAAAGATCGGCCTTCGCCGGATGTCCCTCAAGTTCCTGTCCTGCCGCTACACCGACACCAAAGCCTTTGGGCTCAACTGGTCCGAGATGGGCCAAGATGTACACAAGGCCTGTGACGAGCAGACACTCACCGTCATGTACAACGACTACGGAGAGCCCAAGGAGCTCTAGAGGTTTGAGTTTCCCAAGGATCAGCACCGTTTCCTCACAGTTTCCCAAGAAAACGTAACCAATTTTACATTCGGCTGGCAAGGCGGCTGAGAGTCACGTCTCATTTCTAAGTGCTGCACATTATTTGAAGCATTTCATGCTTGAAATAAAATTCAAGCATGATTTTTAGTCATTTTTCCAACTTTGGTAACCTGCTAAGGAAAGACAAAAGTTTATGTACAACTTGTCTTAAGCAAACTATATTCATGAGTTGGGTCTAAAAAGTTTCATGTTTCAAAGGTAAATCTGCTCAATTTACCCTTAATGATACTCAGAAACAAAGTACTAATTATTAGCACTGCTCTGTAGCATCTGAGCTTTTGGTCAATCTGTAAACTTCTTTATTCTAATGAAGAGTTAAAATTAAAGAAATCTATTTTAAATTAAAGGGATAGCAACAGTGGCCTCTACAAGTTTGAACTTGGATAGATCCACACTGTTACATGTGGTTTATATTAAATCCTCTCAAGACAACAGTTTTCATCAATACAATTCTCTAACTTGATCCGAATTAAAGTGTTGCTCTTGGCTAGCACCTACCAAACAATGAGATAAATAATCCCACTTTACATTGTGGCATTTCTCTTATCTGCAAAACAGACAAATTACTTTTTCTTTGAGCTTGAGAAGTTAATGTAGAGTGTTATGCATATGCATCTTAATAAATTAGGACATCATCAAAATGTTTCTTTATTTCAGTAATTCAATTTGAAAATTGAAACAAATAGATTCGATTTTCATTTTTATGGCCGTAGCTTCCAGCTGATGAAATTCCCAAATTTGTTTGCTTAGCAGATTTGAAAATGACACAAGAGCAGTAAAAAAAAAAAAACAGTGTTAAAAACGAAATGTAAAAATGTATGACCATACAGTGAATGCATTCAATAGTCGGTCCGGTCGCAGTCTGCCTTCGGCTCTTTTAGCGAAGTCCAGGTTGGCATTGCTTCATCTTCCTGTTGTTGTTAACCTTGTTGTTTTGCTCACTTTTAATCACCATAGTTGTTCTTTTTTTTCATCCACTCATTGCTCCAACAATATGTTTGGATGCAGTCCTCTTGCAAATAGCCGGCTTCTTGCTGGGTTATTTTCAATAGTTTTCCCTTTTATCATGTAAGACATAATATTAAAAATTTTTTAAATGAAATAATAGTTCGATTTTCCCATCTTCTGATTTCATTCGTTTTAAAGCCGCAGCATGTAACTTTTATGGAGACTATGCTTTGTATATGTTTGTTGAAACTGTCACTATGCTGTGACAGTATAAGATGTAATCTGTGGTTGCGCCGCCATCTGCAGAAAAGACCAATCAGAGGCAGGAGGAGGAGGGTCTTAGCGCTGTCAATCACCCTCATGTACAGCTTTTGTAAAAGTTACATATTGCCGCTTCAAGCTATGAAACTAATCAAAATTATTGGAAATAATTTATATTAGTGCAATAGGTGCATAATTAGGCATTTTAATGACGCCTTAATCCACTGATGCTGTCCTGAATTGTCGCTGGGCAGAATTTTCTCTCTTTGGTGGGCCTCTGTATTGAACTATGCTGGTAGAAAGGTAAGCAAAGTACATGGAAGAATTGTGGAGCTGTTTTAGAGATTAAAAAAAAAAGGTTTACACTGTACATAACATTATCATGAAGTTTTAGCAACGACATATATATATAACCTGAATGTAGTGTTGATACTTACTTATTTACCGTTGTAAACTATTTGTTTGAAATAACTCAAACTCAAGCCGCGTTGACTTACTTCAGTAATAACATTTAAAAAAAAAATTCAAACAGTATTTTCTTAATCTTTTTAATGTTCAAACAACATCAGTTTTAACCAGCAGTAAATCGACACTAAAGCTGCAAAACAGCTCTGTCTTAATATTTAAAACATTTGTTTGTTTGTCATTTAAATGTAATGATTTGGTCTGGAAAACATCTCATTTTGTGCTTGAAACAATTTTCTTTAACTTCGTGTATAATTTTAATAACACGTCTGACGGCCATGTCGATGATTGATGTCGGAAAGATTTTTTTTTCTTTTTAACAAATCTAAAGTGTGAATACTAAAATAAACGCCTGTAGATTTTTGTATAGATAGTAATACATAATTACATCACGAGTTAATCTTTTACTCCTGTATATACGATATACTCCTTGTGATATTTTACTGCATTGATGTGTGCTTTAGTCGATATCTTAACAAACCTGCATATAAGCTGTGTATTGTAGTTTTTGCAAGATTAATGCACTGATTTTGTCCCTGTGAGTGATATGATTGTAATTTGGGAACACCGACTTTTGGAGCAGCTTGGGGGTGAAATTAAGGACCATTAAAAAAAAAAAAAAAAAAAACGAAATCCGTTTTTATCTTTGAAAATGTTTCTGATCTGCATGAAATCATGTTTATAATATGTGTCAAATAAACTACTGAGTTTTCATGTTGATCTTTGCTACTTTAAGCAACAGAGGCTACGAAACACTTACCAATGAAGTTTTTCACGGCACTAATGGTTTGTCTGTCAAATCTTTAATTTGTGCTCCACAGATGTTCCTGCTCCTATTTTACTGTCAGCTTTCTGTGACAGCATTGAGACTGGTGTTGCTAATTGTTGTTGCAGTTCTGACCTCAGTGCTCAGACTGCTGCCCAAATGTTTCATTGAAATAAAATAATCCTTGAAAAATGTGTACGATTTGTGTGCGTCATGTATAACTATCCAGGTTCTGAAAGTTCATTGTTGCCAGACTTTTGTACATTTAATGTAAAATTTGATTGGGTTCTACAAAGCATTTTTATGATGCATTACTCCCTCCCCAATTTGCAATGCAGAGATTTTAGACAGTGGTTGGGTTCGCAGCGAAAATCCCAAAAACTATGATGACTTCCTACTTTAATAGTTTACATACCAGATATACCTTAATATGCATTAACATCCCCAGTGGAAACTGTCGTAGCACTAATGGAAAAGCTAACATCAATAGTGATTTTTATTTCTGCTGTCTGGGTTACAGCCAATCAGAGCTCTTGGTCTGGCTGTTTAGCAAACGCCAGCCAATAGCATGTCAGCTTTCCAAATGGCATTTCAAATATGATGATGATAATGATCGCTATTCTCGACCGGCCTCTTTTTTTCTTCCTTGGTTTGCAGTCATTACATTTCCAGATGCTGGATGAAGTGGTGCAGAGTGAGATGTTCAAAGAATGAACACCAGTTCAAAAGGCAGCCCTGCTCTAAGCATCTCCTGTTTGTTGTGTTCCTGTGACTGCATGACGCCGTTTGTTCATTTAATGTGTTGTAACAAACTTCTGAGGCCTTGACATCTCAACTTTTTTTTTATTTTAACAATTTAAGTGGCTTCTGTAAGCAACTGGTGAATTTTATAAAATATATGCAAATATATCTGAGAGAATTAAGCATGTTTTAAACATTTAATTCTACTGGAGTAAAGTACAAGCAAAACAAATGTAAAAAAGTGAAAGAATGTAAAGACTCATTCTATGCAGATTAAATTTCTCAGCAGCTCACTTGTGTGCTGTTTGGGTCAGAGGAATGCTATGTAAAGTATTCTTAATCACCTTAACCCCCTTTATAAACAGAGATATCAGTCAAAAAGGACATGATTCAGGTCTGTATAAAGTTGGAATTTATTATATTGAGTACAAAGTACAGTAAAATATCACAATATACTTTAATTGATCCTATGTACTGATGTGTTCCCTTGTATTGGTTGGTAACTTGACACCAGAATCTGTCTGGACATGGATGAAGTCTGTGCTGAGTGAATGGACTGCCTTACACTTGAGTTCATCTCACCTTCACCGTATGTGCAGGTTTGTTTCAGTGGTACTGATAAGAGCATAGAGAAGATAATACATGTGTTTACAGTCAATATCTGAAATTACACAATGTTCATTTAGATTTAAGAGTAACTGTCATAACTGAGCAACTAGACACGCGTCCATGCACTGCCGCTTCGGGAAGCCCAGCTGCATAACACAGTAGCACAATAACATAACGTGAACAGTGACATAAATATAGCAATGACCTGTTTGACTTATAGGTGGCCTTGTGGGATATACTGGATGATGCAGATATACGATCTATACACGTTAGTCTATACATGTGTTTCTCCAGTAGCCTTCGGCCGTGAGGAGCGGCCCGACTCTAATAGGATCCAGAAACGTAATTGAGCTCATTGATAAATGATTTGATCCAATTATGATGACTTTATTTCTGCAGGAGGGCTGCAGTGTGCTAGGTTCTGATCTCCAAAACAACCTTTTCTAATCTCTTACATCTCAGCTAGGAGCAAGGAAACGTATCATGTCTGGACGTCATTCGATGTAATGACTCATTGGATGCAGCTTAGCAAGAAAATGAAATACAAATGGCATTTAATCACAATCTTTGTATTGAAAAATGTTACACATCTGATTTTTTTTTTTTTTTTTAACTCGTGGTGAATGTGATGCAGTTCGACTTTTGCTTAAGACAACTTCAGCTTCCTTTCATCTCTGCATCTTATTACATTCCTCCCCCGGTTCCACCTCCTCAGTCCAAGGTTTTTACTTTGCTCTTGTTTTCTTCGGCATCTGGATCACGGCAAGTGCACTCGTCCTCGCTGCAGTCCGCTCCAAACTGGATGACCTGTCGGTAAACAAACAGAATGATCTGCTAATCGAATTCCCAGACCTGCTGCAGAGATTCAGATCTGTAGCTCTTGTTCTCTGGAAAGGTGCGTGCCTCCTTACAGATGTCTTCTGTTTTTGCCTTTTTGTCACACTCAAGCGTTTTAGATCAGCAGACAGATTTAAATATCAGACAAAGATGGCCCAACTAAGTCTGAATAGATGTTTTTGAATGATTGCACAAAGGGAAAAATGTAATCCAAACCAATCTTTAGCTCAGCTCAAATTGGGTTATGCAGCAAAACGGATGATGTGAGAAGCAGAGGGCAAGTCCAAATTTCAATACTTATAAAAATTGAAAGCTTTTGTCACTGAAGCATAGGCCATTCATGCTTCAGTGTAGCAGAATTAAAACAATTCTGGAAAGAAAATGTTATAGTGGCACCAGTTATTAGGTTTTACATTGAGTCTTGAACAGATTTTTTTTTTCCCATAATAAATAAATTATTTAAAAACTGAAATCTCTTCGGAATGGGGGG